AATAAATATATTTGTTATATGAAAGCTCTGTGTCTGTGGTCGCTGTGAGTAGCCATGACGTCACAATAACCTCCGAGCACAGTCTTCTTTTTACTTTTTCGCCTTACTTTATCAGAAGAGAAAGTATAGAAATCGTGCGTCAGAAAACGATGGTTTTTCGACAGAAAACTCTTATTGCCGGACTCTGGTAACGAAAAAGTGAATAAATCTTGTTCCTATTTTTAGAAAATTACTTCCTCTAACACGTTGGTCAGAATACATGTTTTGTGGCTTCCTGATTCCGATAAATCGATTGATGATAAAACGTCCGTTCGTCCATCTGTGGTCAACGCTAGCGTCTAAATCGTCAAGACGATTTTCTCCAAAACTGATATTCTCATATCGATCTGCACGAACTGCCCCTGCTCCTCTTACTTTGAAACGTGCTTTGATTTTTAGGTGTACTTCACAACAAGCCTCAACATTTTCATTTTCATTTCATTCTCAAAAATGGCTTCAAAAATTTGGATTGGTCTTCAGGTAGTGTCAAGGTTGCTTACAAGAATGGCATGAGTCTCATTAGTTGAAATAACCGATTTTTCAAAAACTGCAAAATTACAGAATTCCCTAGACATTTTTACCTTAAATAAAATCTGTTCTCGAAGATAAGATCTTTAAAGAAGGTTATGTACAATTATTTGTAAAAACGAGTAGTAGTCGCGTAATTTATGCTTGAACTTAATGCTAATTTTCAAAAAGAACATTTTCTCAAAAAACGCTTCAAATTTTTTCTTTGAACATTTTCCATGAATAGATGAAGTGACGCTTGAAACAATAGGCGCAAGTCTCATTTTACCTGAACTCGCTACATTTTAGAAAATTGTCAAAGTTAGAAATAATACGAGAGGGTATGTGCTGTTGTAGCTCCTAGTTGTGCGTGTTGTACGTTTAGCGTGTAAGTGCTTTTGCACTTACGAAGTACACGCTGTTAGAGGGCGCAGATCTCATTTTCATCGAACTCTGATATTTTGCAAATATATTGCAATCATTAGAAATAAAGCGAAAAAGTTTGTGTTGTAGTGGTGGCACTAGTTCGCGTGTATTGTGCGCGTGTGCGCAGACGAAGCACACGCTGTTCGAGGGCGGCGTGCGCACGGTGGGCGCCGTGTGGAGCGGGCGACTGCGCGCGCCGCGCACGCCGTACGCCCACCCGCTGCACGTGTCGGACTGGGCGGCCACGCTGCTCGCCGCCGCCGACGAGGCCGCCCCCGACCACCCGCCCTCCGACGACGGCGACGGCGACATCTTCGCCGGCGTCAGCCACTGGCACGCGCTCTCCGCGCCAGGTGAGCTTCACGGCAA